GCCACTTTGGGGGTTGAGATTGCTTTTATTCATCCACATTTTTATTAAAACCTTAATAGTTTACATAAAACATCGATCTTCTGTGTTTTATGAAGCAAAGTTACAGGTTCTATTTAGGGTAAAGCATTTCCAGTTTGGGGAAAAAATTGAACAGCTAATTAGCAGACGGTCATTTTATGCCTTGTTTTCCTTTTAAACTATAATAAATAATTAACCTATTAATTACAAAAAATTATTAATTATGCTTAGAGCAACCAGAGTATCTTCACAAATTTATTTTCATATTTGTTACAGTATGTGAAGTCGTTAAGTAAAGTCTCTGGTTTTCCAGTTGGGTAACAAATGGCTTTTGTCTGATGCATAATTAATAGAAACTAATGATGACTATGTAGCGCTTTCCAGAGTTTTAAAGGCAAATCTATATTGGCCTACAGTTAACATGCAAATTCATCCAACGAGCAACACAAAATGTATTGTAGTAGTCATTCATTTTTATCAACATTCAGAAGATCTAGACAGCAGCACATCTCTCCTTATGTTGGAAACACATTATAACATGGTCACCACGGAAGTTAGACCATACCTGGTAAAGTAACCCCTTACTAATTCACCCCTACCATCCGTTCAGACTTCCAGCACAATACATGAACAACAGTGATTAATACTGCGGCATGAAGATAAATACAGACAAGAGTTTGGTGTGCTAGCATACAGAGTCCTAGAAACAGTGACAAACAAAACCAAACAACTTGCCTTGTTCTCTCTCCTCTTGTGAGCCTGGGATTTCCACGGTCTCACCAAAACATTCTACCTGGGGAACTGAGTCCGGTGACCCCAGTACTGAAATTTGACCACAGGGGATGCTATGCTTATTTAAAGGTGGGCATCAAGGGAGATATCTTGCTCTTCAAAGACTGATGTGATCACCAGACTCCTTGAAGGAAAATGATTTTTCGGAATAGTTAGCATTCTCTCATGGAACTGTTTGGTGATTCTGTGGCTCAGATTTGTTTTATTGTATTTGGTTGGGGAAATGAAGTGTCCACACCATCACCATCACACTTGACTCTCCTTCCATTACATAAGACACTTGTTAGGATAAGAAAGATTTTCCGCTAAAGCTGACGGTGACTGAGGGTCATTTAGTATTCAAAGATCCTAAAGAACCGTTGGTTCTCTGAAAGGGATAAAAAAGTAGGAAAGGTTTTGTTCAAATGCCTGCCAGTAAGCAAGTATTACTTCAACCAAAACAATGGCTACAGGACATCAAAGTACTATAAATTATCAAAACTATCATACAGAAAAGTTACAAATTCATTGCAAAATACATTACACTGCTACCATTAAGAAAAAAAGTGCTTTTTCTTTTTCTTTTCTTTTCTTTCTTTCTTTTTTTTTTTGCCAGAAAAGTATTCTTTCAATATAGAAAATCCTATGTGGTACCCTGCATGTGGCTAGGATATATCATAACGGAGTTTGTACTGAGTCCTTCTGGTTCGCTGGAAGAAGGGCTGAAAATGTTTAATACTGACTTATTAAAGCCGTGCTCCAAATGACCATGCCAGCTGTCAGTGGAGAGATGCCTATTTAAGACACTAGAAGATGCCCTGGTCTGTCAAACCCTGCCGGTCAGGTCATCACACTGTCCCACCAATCAGCTGGTTTAGAATGCACAGGCCTTTGCGTGTTCTGTGGGGTTTTCCTCATGTTCTCCTGAATTATCCTCATGTCTTTGCCTCTGTGAACCTGCTCAGTGATGCCGGTATTGTCTCATAAGGGGAACGATACAAGATGGAGGACCTGCCAGTTTTAAGAATGGATGTCCAAGAAGCTCTTGGGCTGTAGCTCTTTGAGAGGGCTCCCTCACCAACATCAGATCTAGGAATCCTCGGAGCATGGAAGAAACCTGGGGAAAGAAAGACACCACACTGAGGATCAGCACAGAAACCCATCAAATTATACCAATAAAGGAGAAAGGTACAGAAGAAACACATATGCTACCACTATAATTGATTTCAAAGTGCGAAACAGTGGAGGTGAAACACAGAGTAACTTCATTAAGTAAAGTGACGGTAGGTAATGAAAGTGCCTCTTGTGTCTGGGTTATATAAGCATGGTGGTATGCATGAGAAGTTCAGCTGAGACTGGGAAATAGAGCTTGGTGGACACCCCTCACCCCTGCACAAAGAGAAACTCATTTCCATCAGGTTAGTCCCCTACCCCTGCACAGAGAGAAACCCATTTCCATCAGGTTAGTCCCCTCACCCCTGCACAGAGAGAAAAATGTTTCCATCAGGTTAGTCAAGACAGACATTTCTGTGTAGTTTTTGTAAAGCTGACTTTTCTGACATCTATCAGATGTTACTTGGAGATGAACGCCATTAGATGAACGTCCTGATTAACTTGTCATACGATGACATCTGTTCACTTTCTACCTCTACGGAGATATAGGACATTTCTGTCATTCTAAGAGGGTGCCTTGGGCTTCTTGGCATTACCTACAGCCTTACAAAAGATAATGAGGGTCCTTACTTCTAACAGACACATTAGCTTTACTTGCTTTTATGCCTTGTACAAAATTATTTACATATATACACATATAAACACACACATATATAGTTTATATGCATATAATAAAATATATGTATAAGTTATACACATAATTCTGTATAGAAATATATACGTATATGTGTATATATAACATGCAAAAATATTATATCACATAAATATACATATATAAGAGTATTATACATATAAACATATATATATATATATATATAAACACACATTTGTATACTGTTAACTTTCACTGGCTTATTTTCATTTAACATTGCATTTATGTGAGATACTTTCCTCATTTGTTTCATTTTTCTGTGGCTGTCCAATTATCCATAGATTATTTATTCACTTGGGAAACAAACCTGGGATTTTTCCAGCTTTCAAACATTAGAAGTAAATATATCCTTGTGTATTCATTAACACTCAATTCTATTGGGTATAGAGTTATTTTCACAGGACAGGGTCTTAGTTGATTTTCATTGGTTAATCTTCATCCAATCTAGCAAAAACTTCAAACTCTTAATGAGTTCTTGTGGTTGCCCTTTTGCTGAATCTCTGCAAAAACTATATAAATAGCGTAGTCCCACTTGCTACGTTTTGAAACATGTGAAAATCAAATTCACTGGTTCTTGATATGAACAGTCCTTCCTTTCCCTGCATGATCTAGCTCCTGCCTATTTCTCTGGAATGTTCTATCCTTGTCTTCTTGCTGTTCTGTTACAGCATATGCCTTCTTCCTTGGCTTCAGGTCCTTGTTTCTGATGCTCCTTCTGTATGGGATATTTTTCTTCCAGATCTTTGCATGACTAGTGCCTTCTTTCCAATTGTTTCAGATGAATCTTTCCAGGAAGGGTATCCTTGGCTTTTTATACTAAAGTGGCTCCCAGTCTTCTGTATTGTACATTTGATCTCTTCATAGTACTTTGTGTTCTTCATAGCATTAGTTGAATATTTTTTTAAAGATTTATTTATTTATTATGTACAGTGTTCTGTCTGCACATCTACCTGCAGGGCAGAAGAGGCCACCAGATTGCATTATGGATGGTTGTGAGCCACCATGTGGTTGCTGAGAATTGAACTCAGGTCCTCTGGAAGTGCTCTTTTTTTTTTTTTTTTTTTTGGTTTTTCGAGACAGGGGTTCTCTGTGGTTTTGGAGCCTGTCCTGGAACTAGCTCTTGTAGACCAGGCTGGTCTCGAACTCACAGAGATCCGCCTGCCTCTGCCTCCCGAGTGCTGGGATTAAAGGCGTGTGCCACCACCGCCCGGCTGGAAGTGCTCTTAATCAGTGCTCTTAACCTCTGAGCCATCTCTCCAGCCCCAAATCCAAACTTTATTAAGTGATGGAGCTGAAGGGATAGCTCAGAGTTAAGAAAGCTTACTGCTCTTGCAGAGGACCAAGGTCCTGTTTGCTGAATCCGTATCAGGCAGCTCACAGCCACCTGTAACTACAGATCCAGAGAATCCAAGCTCTCCTCTGGTTTCCTCAGGCAATTGCACAATCATGGTGCATATAAATTCACACAGGCACACGCACATATACATATAATTTTACAGAGTGAAGCACAGTCTATAAGTTAATCTTTAAAGCTAAAATGTAAATTTAAGTCTGTAATAAGTTCTATTTTAAAAGTCTGACGATTACTGGCTTGAGTGCAGAAATGACAGCAATATGACTGCATCCAGAAGAGAACAGACAAGACCATTACTGACAGTATAGTGTACATTGTACTACTTTCTTCTCTACTTAGAATGCAGGCTCTACAAGAATCAAATAATCGGAATACCCCTAATTGGAAGTCCCCAGCAGGTACCAGCCACTTAGTGCGGACATGCTGGAAGGAGAATCCAACTCACATCTTACCAGCCCTTTGAGAGAAGAGCTGATAACACCCCATTTACAGATGAAAAACTTTGTGGTTGGAGATGTGGAGCCACTTGCCCCATAAATGCACAGAAAAGCATATTTGAATCTCGATGACTTAGTACAAAACCCTTATCCCCGATGAAAGGAGACAGAGACAGAGACCCACATTGGAGCACAGGACTGAATTCTCAAGGTCCAAATCAGGAGCAGAAGGAGAGAGAGCACGAGCAAGGAACTCAGGACCGTGAAGGGTGCACCCACACACTGAGACAATGGGGATGTTCTACTGGGAACTCACCAAGACCAGCTGGCCTGGGTCTGGAAAAGCCTGGGATAAAACCGGACTCTCTGAACATAGCGGACAATGAGGACTACTGAGAACTCAAGAACATTGGCAATGGGTTTCTGATCCTACTGCACGTACTGGCTTTGTGGGAGCCTAGGCAGTTTGGATGCTCAACTTACTAGACCTGGATGGAGGTGGGGGGTTCCTTGGACTTCCCACAGGACAGGGAACCCTGTTTGCTTTTCGGGCTGGGGGGGGCTTAATTGGGGGAGGGGGAGGGAAATGGGAGGCGGTGGCTGGGAAGAGACAGAAATCTTTAATAAATAAATAAATTTAAAAAAAAACAAAAAAACAAAACCCTTATCCCCAAATCAGATCTACCAGATTTGTTATGCCAGTCTTTAAATGAATAAGTTACTATTCTGAACATTGCAGTGTATAGCAATCCTCACCTTGTGTAGGTCCTTCACTCTTGGAGGTAAACTGTCCCGGATCCTCCGCATTGCCTGGAGAGGAGGCTCATTGAAATAGGGGGGCTCACCATCAATCATCTCTATCACCATGATCCCGAGGGACCAGATGTCCACCTGTTAAGAACAATCCACTAGTTATGTCAGGAATGGAGAACATTCTGGAGTTCTGGTTGTGTTGTGAAGCCCAGCAGATCCATGCTCATTCACAAATTAATTAATTTCACAAATTAATTTCAAACCGTATGATACAAATTTACATGCTGCATTGTTGTATTATCACCATTTTTGCTAATGTCATCTTTTTTTTTAAAGGAGATTTAGTTTTTAGTGTGTGTGTGTGTGTGTGTGTGTGTGTGTTCTCAGAGGCCAAAGAGGATGTCAGAGCCTCTGGAACTGGAGTTACAGGCAGTTGTGAGCAGCCTGATGTGAGTGTTGCAAGCTGAAGCCAGGTTTTCTTCAAAAACAGTATGCTTTCTTAACCATTGGGCAATCCTGTCCCCTAGACTCTCTCTACTTTTTAAAGATGACTCTAGTGAAGTTTCTACAGTATATTAGAAATGAAAATTTACCATTCTCAAGTCTAGAGCTTTAATTTTTATACTGGAAGAAAGAAACAAGGAAAGAAAGAAAAATAGATAGATTAGATAGATAGATAGATAGATAGATAGATAGATAGATAGAAAACAAAAACCCCAATTTTTACATTATGAAAAGAGAGAGCTTATTTGGAGGTTCTATCAAGGGACTGTAGCTACGCATCTACTCTTGACCAAAGACTGGTCCTCCTCTATTCTGGGAAGATTGTCCTCTCGACTAAGCTTTGGGAGGGACCACATGGAATGGTGAAGGAGGAAAGGGACACCCGCCTAGCCAGCCAGATCAACCGGATCAACTCTGTTGACCAACGGGGTGAAAGTTGTTAGAGTTAGAGAAGAAAGTGTATTTAAACCATAAGAAATTGAGACGATGCTTTGGCATGTTTAGAACAAATTTCAAGGACCTACTTTGTATCACACATGGTGTACTCTTCATACTTCTATAAACCTGAGTTTTACATAGTTATTTCCTCATCCATTGTGGGGTTTTCCACTTCAATTTTTATTATTTTAAATCAACCCTCAGGAAATCCTGCTTTATAAACTATTTTCAGGGAGTGAAGAAAAGGAAGAAGTGGCAAGCAGTTCTGAGTAAGGAATGGGAAGGCTGGAGAAGGGAGGCGGGATAGTGGCTCCGCAAACCCCTCTGTCCAGCTCCTTCTATGGCCTCATTGGGCTTTCACCTGCTCTCTGCATCCTTCTTCTATACTTTGCCACTGTCACTTAGGATTTATCTCTGGGGTCCACAGTGAGAAAACCAAGTTGGGTCCTCATCCAAGGCCACAGAAAAGAAGAGGAGAGCCAAACTTGCCTTCATTAATGCGTCGCTCTTCGCTTGTCAGTACAAACCACTTGCCATTGTCACCTACACCACGGTGCGTGGAAGCACTGAACTCAGTCTCTGAGCCTCCAAGCTTCTGCTCACACTGTTACCTGCCTAGAAACCTCTGCCTCACTCTCTCTCATTTAAATTATGCTGCATTGTGAATGTTATAGTATACACACATGATTTTCTATTACATTTCTACTATATGCAAAGATCACTTCCTCGTCATACTTTCTATACTTTTTTCCCTTTTCTGAAGAATTTCTGCATAACCGCAGTCACCATTCCAGTTATTTTGCTTTGCAGCCTGCCACTGGGGGGTGGGACCAGTATTTAGGGACTTCACAATCCCCTTTTCACTTTCCTGTAGGACTCCAGGAAAAGCCACTATGTAAATACTGCTATGATGTCCCCAATGGAAACAGTGTTCCCTCTGTCATAGCCAACTCCGAGTCAACAGATTCCCAGTGTTGGGGATCAACTATGGAGTCAGAAGACCCTTACCTCCTGTACCCACCAATCAGGATCACTGTGCCCCTGAGAAGATCCCAGAGCCCACTGCCCCCAAACAAAAAAACTACTTACCTCTGTCCCATAAGGTAGCCTGGAAATCACCTCAGGTGCCATCCAGTATGGGGTACCCACCAATGATTTCCTCTTTGGCACCTCTTTGGAAACTTGAGCGCAGAATCCAAAGTCAGATAACTTTATCTAAAAATGGAAGGAAAGCAGTAAAGGAATAATTAGCAAACACTGCCCAGGAGAAGTAGACATATATGCACAGAGCTGAAAATAAGGACAAAGCAATTCATTGAAATTCATCACTGGGACTCAGAGCTAGCAAAGAAGTTGCCAGAAACTTTCTCATCAGTCTTGATTTGCAAATATCTAAACTCCTGTAAATTTTTTATCTCTCATGAAATTATAGGATAAGCATAGGTAACCATTAAAAGTTAAATATACCCCAAAATAAACTTCTCTCGGGTTCATGAGTTCCCATGATCTTGGTTCAGCTGTCTCTATATGGAGTCTCCAAGGGACCAAACTAGGCCCTTTGCATGTAGGGGACAATTGTATTGCTTTGTCTATCTAAGGGGCTCCTGGTAGTAGGACCAAGACCTATCCCTAGTGCATGAGCTAGCTGGTTGGAGTCCATTCCCTATGTTGGGATGCCATGATCAGCCTTAATGCATAACTCTCATCCAAAAGAAGAGTTTTAAACACTTGGGAACAAGAGGCTAGAGCTTTGATATCCTACAGATGTACTGTCCTGAACAGCCTAGCCCTCTATGGCCCATTTAATCCCTAGTGGAAACCAGGTTACCAAGGCAAGAACTAGAAAAAATAAGAAGGTGGGTCTCACTTCCCTCACCCTGAGGTCCCACATATCATATTCTTCTTGTTCCCATAAGCCACCACAAGAAAGAGGGGAGGTAGGAGGCAAGAGGAAGAAGCTAGTGTTTAAATCTGAAAGACTGAATTTTAAAGGTATCAGTTACACTTTGCAATAATGTAGTTCAATTTTGACTGGCAATGTTTAAATTATTCAGACATTAAATTTAACAGATTAAATTGAGATAGATAATTTATTTTTTTATGAAAGTTTCTTTTTCTTTTCTTTTTTTTTTTTTTTTTTTTGGTTTTTCGAGACAGGGTTTCTCTGTAGCTTTGGTGCCTGTCCCGGAACTAGCTCTTGTAGACCAGGCTGGCCTCGAACTCCCAGAGATCTGCCTGCCTCTGCCTCCCGAGTGCTGGGATTAAAGGCGTGCGCCACCACCGCCCGGCGAAAGTTTCTTTTTTAATTGAATTTTAAAATTCATTTTATATACCAACCTCAGTTCCCCTTCGCCCATCCCCCCAACCCACCCCCATCCACTCCTCAGAAAGGGTAAGGCTTCCCATGGGGAATCACCAAATCCTGGCACATTCAGTTGAGGCAAGACCAAGTTTCCCCCACCCCCGAGAAAGGCATCCCTCCATATGGAACAGGTTTCATAAAGTCAGCTCATGTTCTAGGGGTAGATTCTGATACCACTGCCAGCGGGCCCACAAGCAGACTAGGCTACAAAACTATTGCTCACATGCAGAAGGCCTATTTTGGTCCTGTGCAGGATCCCCAGCTGTTGGTCGAGGTCCTTGAGCTGCTGCAAGTTTGGGTCAACTGTTTCTGTGGGTTTTCTTTGGGCCAACTATCTTTGTGGGTCATGATCTTGATTCCCCCCTTGCTCATATAATCACTCCTCCCTCTCCTTGATTGAACTCTGTAGCTCGGCCTGGTGCTTGGATGCAGAACTCTGCCTCTGTTTCTGTCATTTATCTGAATAATGGTTCCTGCTTCTCTGTAGCTTTGGATTGTGGTCTGGTTATCCTTTGCTTTACAGTTATCCAATTATGAGTGAGTACATATTGTGTTTATCTTTCTGGCTCTGGGTTACCTCACTCAGAATGATTTTTTTCTAGTTATATCCATTTGCCTGCAAATTTCATGATGCTATTATTTTTTAAAGCTGAGTAATACTCCATTGTGTAAATGTACCACATTTTCTTTAGCATTCTTTGGTTGAGGGGCATCTAGGTTTTTTCCAGTTCTGGCTATTATAAACAATGCTGCTATCAACAGTGAGAGGTAGTCTTGAATGCAGTGGCACAGGAGACCACTTCCTGAATATAACATCACCAGCTCGGACACTGAGAGCTACAATAAATAAATGGGACCTCCTGAAGCTGAAAAGTTTCTGTAAGGAAAAGGACAAGGTAAATAAAACAAAATGACAGTCTACAGAATGGGGAAAGATATTTACCAACCCCATGTATGGCAGAGGCCTGATATCCAAAATATTCAAAGAAATCAAGAAACTAGACATCAAAATATTAAATAATCCAATTAAAAAATGGAATACAGATCTAAACAGAGAATTCTCAACAGAAGAATCCCAAATGGTTGAAAGAGATTTAAGAAATTGCTCAACACCCTTAGTCATCAGGGAAATACAAACAAAATGACTCTGAGATACCATCTTACTCTTGTAAGAATGACTAAGATCAAAAACACCCATGTAGTTTATGCTGAAGAGGATGCAGAGTAAATTTACACAGCTACTTTGGAAATCAGTATGGTGGCTTCTCAGAAAGTTGGGAATCAATCTGCCTCAAGACCCAGTGATACCACTCTTGGGACATATACCCAAAAGATGCTCAATCATACCACAAAGATAGTTGCTAAAATAGGGAATTTCGGGCATTTGTGCTTTTTAATCTCAGTATCTTACTATGGGTTTCTCTCTGTTGACATAAAAAAAGCTCATACCCTCCAAAATCTGGGATCCTAATAATTATTTCCCTGCCAAAATGTGTAAGTTAAGGAATTGAAACTGGATGCTTGGCATCTAGGCCTACTCTTCTTGTATAGGAGTATGGGTGCTTTTGTATGATATTTTTTTTAACTCATCCAAGTACATAAAAGAGACAGCTTTCTAAAAAAGTATAATTGCATGTAACATTTGTCCAAATAAATCTTCAAGTAGATAATGGGAACTCAAATCACAGTGAAATAAAGCAGTGTGGGCAGATCTTAGAAGCAAATCACATGGCTCTAAGCTGAGCCTTGTTTTAGGTAGAATTGTATACTATGGGCGCTTAGTACACCATCCCGTCTCCTTAATGCATTTATGCGAAGAGAAGAGGAGGAAGACACTGTCCCACCCACAGGAGATGTGGCTTGTCACAGAAGAACATACTAAGGATCTCAGAGTTGGAGTTCAGATAGAGGTGCTGCCTTGCTGCTATCCCTGCCATCTCCAACATGTCCTATCTAAGAAATGGGCTCCACAAAAGGATACAGGGTAGAGGTACGTGCAAAAGAAAGTCCATCCCAGGACAGTTGTAGATGTAAAGATGGATTATAGTAACTCTTGCTCTATGATTGGGTATCTAGGGAACTCTGCCTATCCTGCATGCTTGAAGAGACTGCCTTTGTGAAAACTTCTTGTGTTGTTTCATACAAGGCCATAGCCCCAAACACCTGTAACTTCAGCATCATTTGGCAGCTTGTTAGCACAAAAGTTCCTGGGTACCACTTAGCCCCGCTAAATTACCATCCCGAGAGTCAGGACCTAGGAAAGGGTTTTATTTTTATGTTCTCTACTGTTTTCTAATGCTCAGTAAAGTCTGAGAACTTCAGCCTTAAAGAGAGCAACAGTAAGAAACAACAAAATTGAGATAAGAAATAGAAAATGCCAGCTTCAGAGACCCACAGCGGAGCACATGGCTGAGCTCCCAAAGTCCAATTGAAGAGTAGAAGGAGTGAGAATATGAGCAAAGAGATCAAGACCATGATGGGGTCATCCACTGAAACAAATTACCTGAGCTAATGGGAGCTCACCAACTCTAGCTGAACAGTGAAGGAACCAGCATAGGACCAAACTAGTCCCTCTGAAAGTAGGTGACAGTTGTATTGCTGGGGCAGACTGCAGGGCCACTGGCAATGGCGCCAGGATTTAGCCCTACTGTTTGTACTGGCCTTTTGGAACCCATTCTCTTTGGGTGGATAACTTGCTCAGCCTCAATATAGTAGGGAGGGCCTTGGAACTTCCTCAAAACAAAGTGCTTTACCCTCTCTGAGGAGTGGAAGAGGGAGGAGGTAAGGGAGTGGGAATTGAGATTTGTGTGTATGAAAAAAGATAGTTTTTCTTTTCTTAAAAAATAAAATTTAAATTAAAAAAATAAAGTTAAATTAAAAAAGAAAGAGCCAGCTTGATGATGGCAAGATCTTGATGCTGCTTAAGGTCTGCTTCTTTAACACCAACTCCAAGAGGAGAGGGAGGGGTCATAGACAATATCTCAGAATGGCAGGGTTTCATGTCTTCTACAATTGGGCAGAGCACAGAGAACTGGATATTTTTCCAAAGCTTTTTGGCATTGTTAAAGGAGATCTGAAACCTGATCCTAAGCCTTCCTGTGATAACATCCTACACTGGGACACGCTCCTTCTGAGGACTAGCAGGAAGGGGACATAGATGGAGATCAGGATAAGTTTCAGAGACAGCACGTTATTTCATATGCACAAATCGCTGATTATTTAAAAACTGCATTTGCATCACTATCTTTAAGGCATCTTTTAATTGTAAAATGCGACTTTTACAGAGATAAAGCAAAAAATGATAAAGGGAACATGAGTAATAATACCAATCCATTTAAAGAACAGTTGGAGACACCAGATACTGGGGCACATTCTTGGTAGGGAGACAATGGATTCCTGCTGAGTGTTGGTAACGTATTAGGGAGGGGATGGAGTGGTCCGAAGGCACTGGTTGATGGTCTATTGCCATTTATCATTTATTCCTCCTTCAAGTTACATGGGAGGTGAGCTTATACTCATTACATTATCTGTTAAGTGCCCTATTAGTTGGTGTTTCCCTCCAGAAGCACATCCCAAGGAAAGAATTCAGGCAGAATACTTATTTAAGAGATGTAAGAAACCCTGGCCGCGAGATTAGGAAGTAAAATGAGTAAGGGGAAACAGCTGATCAGGAATTAGCAACCAAGCAAGATTTCACTGTGGCTAACTAAGACTTTGTCCGGTGGAGGGTGTCTGAGAGTCTGCGCAGAACAAGTCCTTTAGTTATTTTGCAAAGCGAGAGGGCAAGCGAGGAAGCTGGGGGTCCATCGCAGGTGTCTATCTCAGGTGTCTTACTTTGTTGGTCTCCATGCGATTTTGTAAAACTGGATCTTTCACCGAACCTGGGGCTCAGCACTTAGCTAGCCTGGCTGGCCAGCAAGCCCTTGGATCCTCCTGTCTCCCTCTCCTAGTTCTGGGATTATAAAGATGCATCTCTATGCCTGGTTTTCTATGTGGGTTCTAGAAATCTGTATTTATAGCTTTGTATTTTTGCAGGAAACATTTTACCCACTGAGCTACCTTTCCCAGGAAGGCAATGCAATAGTCATTTTATTTATTCTTTTATTTACATGTTTATTATTACATTTCCACACCTTAAGGGATGTAACTTAATAAGTGCTTTATTTTGTTCATCCTTAGGATCTATATTTTCCTAGCAGATAATAAGCATTCAGAAAATAAGTGTATGAACAAGATTAGTAGCATCCACAGTGCTTCTGTTCCTGTAGGCTCTGGTTGGTACACAGAAGTGCAGGAATGCTTGAGACACAGGTTCTGCCCTTAATAAAAGCAACTCAGTACTTTAATAATAATCTTGTGTATTGAACAGAGGTAGAATTTTTCCATTATGTCAATTTTACGATGTCCTATTATTTTAGTTCCCCAAGTGACTTCAGATCAGATGTTTCCAGCAAGAGAGTTTGGCCTAAAACTGCCTGGCTTGCTTTGCTTCTTCAAGTCCCATTCCCAGAGGCCATTCATGGACTGCTTTAGTGCTGGATGTGATTTGTTCTCATGGGGTCTTATATATGTGCTTTCTGAGCCAGATGGGGCGAATTCTTGCCCTTGTCCTATAGCTCCTCCTGTATAGACATATATTCTTCCTTGCATCCCTTTGCAGTATGAGACTCCCCCTACCAAGAGGAGCTGATTAAGGCTGGGTTGAGGGACTGAGAGCACTTGTTTTGCTAATCAAAGACTGAAATTAAGGTCCACAGAATCCATATAAATCATGGGTGAGCCCTCCTATAATTCCATCATTGAAAGGTGTAGACATGGAATCCCCTGGGGCAAACTGGTTAGCTAGACTAGTTATATCAGCAACCTCTGGGTTCAATTGAAAGACCTTGCTTCAATGAAAGAGGGAAAGCAGTGAAGGAAGATTCCCAGTCATCCAACTTAGGCTGTCACATGCAAGCATGCACATATTCACATGCAGCACACACACATACTCAAGCACATACATACATGGGAGCACCCACAGACACATTACACTCACATTCAGAAAAAGCAAGAAAGGCAGTTTATTCTCCGTCCCTTAAATGTGAGCTTGGTTGAACGTATGGTTTCCTTTAGCTAAGATGATATAAGGTACCTGCATTGCATCTGTATGAGAGTTTGCCCCTCCTGATCCTTTTTGGAATGATTGTCAAAAGAAATGTAAATTATTTGGGGCTACTCTATTAGTCGATGGGTGACACATGGCCCCGTTAGCGGTCTGCCACTGATGAAAGTCAGGCAATAACAAAAGATGGAGAGCATTGGCTTGTGATTGGCCTTCAGCCGGTGGTCTCCATCACTTCCTTATTGGCTGCCTTTGGCATACGGTAGAGATAACATCGGCCAGAGGGAAAATGTTCATGTCATATCAAAGTTTGCTGAAGAATTTGAGTGTTGATCTGAGAGAAATTGCACTCTAGTCTCTGGTGAAATCCAGCAGCAACAAGAAGGTATTGGAGACCACCAATTGCAGGCCAGTCACATGTGCGAGGAAGCAAATTGGTGGCATATGGCGCAGAGACCAATTGTCCTAGCTGATGAAACCCACTATTGTTCCATGCATTTTTGGAGAACTACATGATGAGTGTTTTAAGCCATTTAGTCTTAAGTGGTTTGTTGCATAACAATGCTGACTTACACGTGTTCTTGAGCTGGTTCTTTAAAAACGTTTTAACTGGAGTAGTGTTAAAAACAGTAATTAAAGCTGCTTATGCATAATCCTCAATTCACACATCATATATATATATATATGTACATAGAAATATGGAAACTAGGTAATAGGCTTATGAGTGATTTCTCTGTCCTCTGTAGTTTATGAAATTTACTAATTTATCTATAATAAAACATAGATTTATTTTGGAAATAGAACTTTATAAGCCAAAGTGAGTGGGCTGTTTCTCCCAGCTCATCGCTGATGACTCTTCAGCAAATTGTGATGTGACCCAGACATTTTTCATCTCTTCTGAGGTTACACCATTATAAAAGTCAGATACCTTGAAGAGATGCTGGTTACTTTCACCCCAAACTCATTTTCTCCAGTGAGAATGTCAGGGGCATGAGAAGGGCCTACACAGTGACAATCTATGTGTCAGGACTCAACTCCCTAAATCATCCTTCAAATGTGAGTTTGCTATATCTCTGGATTTTGCATAGCCTATATTCTGTTGACTTCTGTACTTCAACGGAAAGAATTGTTTAGATTATTTTGATGAGAAATGCAGAAGTCTGGGCATGGGAACATAGTATGGTAAATGTTTTCTATTTGCCCCTTTAAACCAGATGTCTTTTCTTTCTTTCTTTGAGCCTTCTGAATCCAGCATGCACTGACTACATGGATGCTTGCCTAAAAGCAAGGTGAAGAGTAAGGAGGGGAGCATTTATTCTCAAGCTTCATCCTGCAAATTCATGATATCCTGACTTATACCAAAGATCAGAGCTCCTGCCCAGCAGCCCCCAAAATAACAAATTCTTCAGCATGTGACAATAACAATGGTGTTCTATTTCAGTAAACTAACTCATCTTTGTGGCTTGTTTCTTAAGATTTTTCTATGTCTGCTCAAACACTGGGAAATTATTTTTTCAATAAAGTCTTCTCAAACTAGTTAAGAAGATTTGGTAATCTGTTTCTCACAGGGACTTGGAGACCTTGAAGGTAGGTACATTAAAAGGAAGAGAGTAGATACAGGCAAAGAAAAGTCAGCTTCTCTTATTTTTCAACAAAAAGAATACGGTAGAAAGATGAAAGAAATTCCCATAGTCTCCATTCCTGCCCACTCTCACTGTAGAGGATACAAATTCTCCATCAATTTCAGGTCACCAGTAGTTCTGAGTAACAGGATGATACAGAGGAAAGGCAATTTCCTCTCTGCAAGTTCTGAGAAGTGGAGTGGGCGATGTGTGACTAACAAAAATGAGAATTGTGAGAAAGTGTTCTTAGGAGACTAATGCCCATGACAGGCAATCTGACAAACTAAACAGGGACGGGACCCAACAGAAAAACCTTACCCGGCCATCACTTGTCAGGAGGATGGAGTCACTCTTTATGTCCCTGTGAATCACTCCTTGGTTATGAAGGTAGGAGAGGGCTTTGAGGACAGATAGGCAGACAGTAGCTATCTGTTCTTCATTCATTCTAGAAAGGAAATAACATGTAAGGATCGAGACAGGTTCAGGTACAGCTTTCTAATGCTCAAGAGATGCCACTCTCTTGGGTTTCAGAGATTTAGTTTAGGTCTCTAGTCCTTGTCTAGAAAACTCCAAATAAAGGAAATGATGTCTCTGGGATGTGATGATTACAGAATAAATCCAGGCACTGAGCATTTTAGGGTGCTAATTAAAGGAAAAGGAAAGTGACCACACTTGTTAGCCATTGTGCAATTAGTGCAAATTAATGTCCTTGACCTCTCATACTGGAGGCAATCAAGCTGTATTCAACTAGAATTGAGCAATTTTTATTTTTTAACAAGTCCATTACAGTGACATAAAATTTTGCTCTTCTGCTTGTCTCTTCTGTCCTCAGGTTAGCCTGGTGGAGCTAGGATATAGATATGATATTGCAACTCAGGAGGATAAAACCAGACTCTATGTTAGTGCTGAGAAGTTCTGTTGTTTGTTACTAAAAGGGAATTCTCAGTAGACTTCTGAGATTGAATCATTGTCTCCCGGTGACCTCCAGAGAGTGTGTGTTGGGGAGGGCATGTCAATTTAATAAATGACGTACGTATGCATGATTTTATAATGAGAACTCTGTGCCTGTATTTCCTGAGTGTGCAGTGTTATTAATTTATAAGTAAATTATAGAGGAAGTTATTGAGGTAGTACTTTGAGTCATCTGTCTTACCTGGTATGAGTGACAATGTCTGTCAAGGCACCACCTTCTAGAAACTCCATGACCACCCAGAGCTCATCTCCAACAAGGTAGCTGTTATACATATCAACGACATTATCATGGTGGTAATCACGCATTATCACAACCTGGATGAATGAGAAAGATACATATTTACTTCTGGGACTGAAGTCTGCTGTGTTTTCTCTTGCGGCCCACATCAATATGTTGAGTGAAAGGGATTTGGTGCTGGGGAATTTCTTTAGGGAATCTACGTACTGTAGATAAGAGGCATCAGCAGTTATCAGTGGCCGTAAAAAAGAATCAAGTGAGTATACTGTGAAAAAGCGACGGGCCAAACAGACATTGCCAAGTTAAGAATGGAACGTGTGGGAGAAGAGGTGGGTGGGGGGGTAAAGAAGGGAAAACTTTAAGATATCCAGCAAAATCTGTCAAAGAGGAGGTTTACTGTGGCATTGGGGAGATGCAGTCAGACAGGACAAAGGGGTTTGCATAGATCACTATTCATACTTTTCTGTGGGCCAATCCAGCAAGGAGGCACTGTAAGCTGAAGAAGTGGGTGCTAAGTACACAAATGGGTAGTAACTGATGTCCCTGAAGTAAGCAATCAGAGGGGCTATAAGACACCAGCCTGACTTAGGATGGATCTCAGGGAGAATTGGTGTGAATACAAAGAACATATTTAGATGGTCAAATTAGATATGCTGTAGGTATTTTAAAAAGTTTAAAAGTCAAACTGAGCCTACTTGTTGGAAAAGTACCTGGGAATTTTTGCCTTGTGGCTGCTTCTGGTTCATTTTCAGTTTGTGCTAAGGAGTAAGTCAACCCAGTCTGTCCTAATAGTGCAATTTAGAAAAAAAAACATTCCAAGAATCAGAAACAGGATATAGGGGAGATGTTCAAGTCAACTTATCTGTAGCTCTCTGCAGCTCCTAGGAATATATAAGAAATGGGTATCTTGTGGGAACCAGAGATGTGGGAGGCCACTGGGCATTATGGAGCTTCCATTGGTAAGGTTTTTAATGTAGCTGAGAGCATTCGTCAGTTCACATCTGTATACGTATAGGAGAACTGAGAATTCTGCCAGAACGCCAAAGGTCTCAAGCCTCAAGCAGCCATGGATTATTCTGGAGATGTGGACTGCACATTCTTTATCAGAGACTGACATCTCTATGAAATCTTCTCTCCCCTCATTGCTGACCAAGTTATTAAAGGGAAAATATGCCAAAACACTGTTATTTTGTTACAGGTACTTATTTTAAAGCTCCTAGTTGATATATATGTATATATATACATATATGACAAATATAATAAAATTGATGTGTATACGTATAACATGAAATTGTTGTCTCAATTATTCTTAGCAATAAAGCAAATGCCATAACTCTAATGGAAAATCAAACAAAGGACATGATTCAAAGAAGAGTTTAAATGTCATGTAAATATATATAATACATATACATATATAAAATATATAAAAATAAACTTACTCAACTATCAACAAAATTCTGATTAAAATAATGTTTGTCCATGTCTATCAGATCAGAATAGATAATGTAATATCTAATAATGCCAGTAAGTGTGACAGAGAAATGTAAAGGCCCAAACTGGTACTTTCTAAAAAACATTATATGTTAATTCTCTAAAAGCTACATATATTTAAGTGTCATTTGGCTTATTTGTTTTACTTTATGACTCTATAAGATTACAAAACATGAAGCCAAAAAGCACTCACTGAAAACAATATAAACTGGAGATTGGTTTAATGAGTATGGTTTATATATGTGAAGGAAGAATTTGAGGCCATAGAAATGATATGGTTGATATATTCAAATATAACAATGTACTTTCTAAAACTTTATTAACATGAAATTAAATCCTAAATGAAACAAGTTAAAATAAGAAGCTATCAGGCTACATATATGGTGTAAGTAAGTAGGAAAATATAAGAAAAAAGTAATAAAATATTAGTGTAGGCCACTTCTGCATAGTTTTGGAGTTATGGTTATAAATATATTTACATGATTGGAGGCCTTGTGTATTCACGAGTCACTTATCCCTTCAATCAATAAACATGTATGGAAGGTAGTTTTTCAAATGAGTACTACAATACAAACTTTTTTTCTTGGCTAATCTATAAATGATGTAATATAACAAATATTTGCATAACATTTGCATTTTGTTAGATATTAGAAGCAATCTGGAAATGATGTATCATGAATAGGAGACCATGTATAGATTAAAAGTAAGCACTATAGATCCTTTATACAAAAGTAGGTATGGAGTTGAGTGTTGGCAGAGACTGAAGGACAGATCCTCCAGAAATTCTGAGAAGTCAGTATGTTCATGGAGAGAGACAGCACTGTATGAGTTTTGGAATCTGTTGGAAAGCCCTCAAACCCTGGCTCCATAGTCAATTAGCCATATTATCTTGCGCCAGTTATCTAGTTATTGAACCAATCTGAGCAGCTTTGTCTCTCAAATAATAACAGCACCTTTATTGGTTATTGCTCAACTAGGCTTGTGCCTGCTGGGTGGCTGATACAATGGAGTACTTTGTAAAGGGAACAGCCATGCATGCATGGAATGAGACTGGAGGAAGGATAGCAGGGGAATGCTGCTTTTGCCTTTCTATTTTTAGTGTCATTCTCTCTCTCTCTCCTCCCCCCCCCCCCCGCCCCGTGTGTGTGTGTGTGTGTGTGTGTGTGTGTTTGTAGTGGTGTGTACAGGGCTATGAGCAGGTATGTGGAGGATAAAGGACTACTTTGAGTGTCTTGCCAGGCCTGTCATTGTGTATGTGTGTGTGTGCGTGCATGCGTGTGTGTGTGTGTGTGTGTGTGTGTTTCTTTTCTTTTTTTTTAGACAGTGTCTCTCATTAGCCAGGAATTCAACAATAGGGTAGGCTGCTTGGCCAGAAAGCACCAGAGTGGACTAAGTACAAAATTGGAGCTCTCCCAACACTGGGATTATGTGCACACATCACCATGCTGGTTTTTGTTTGTTTGTTTGTTTTGTTGTTACTTACCTTGAGGCGCTTATCCTTGCTTATCAAGCACTTTACTGACTGAATTTTCTTTCCAGCCCCTACACGCAGTGCTTTGGAGATAGGAAGCAAATGTTGCAGTAACATGTGAAAGAGGCAATCCAAACACAGCATTTACCTCATTAAAAAGCAGTTCCCGTCTTTGTTGTTTTCGGAGGTCCATTTTCTTCACTGCCACTTGCTTTCCTGTGTGCTTCTCAGTTGCAATGCACACGATGCCTGTCGATCCCTCTCCAATTTTGATAAAGTTATCCAAATATTCCCTGGGGTCGCCTGGACTGACCACGAGTTGCAGGGCAGCCCGGAACTGTTCATGGGATACCCTAGAGGGCTGCTGGTCTGAGGAGGAGGCCCAGCTAGGTGGAGGGTAGGTGCTGGAGGAGATGCTGAGGGAGCTCAAGTAAGAAGCAGTGGAGATGTACTGAGAACTGGTTTGCAGGGAAGGATGGTGGTACAGGGTGGCTTTGTGGTACCCAGAAGGGTACTGGTGGCTGCTTGAAGAGTAGCCTGCTTTGCTTTGACTTTGAGGTAGTTTGGAGGGGCCTCTTGGATAGGTGTCGGACCCTGACAGTGGAGGACTGAAGACCATCTGTGCTCGATCATAATCCACCTGAGAAAAAAAGACACAGATGACCAGCATTTACTAGATCTGAATCTGAATCTGAAGCCTACGGTTGGCAGAAGAAGGAGAAGAGGCAGTGCTAATAGGATCTGGTTGCATAACCCCAAAGCCAGCTGATGGGGGAGAGTCTTCTCTTTTGTGTTAATTTTATTGGTTAAATAAAGAGACTGCCTTGGCCCTTTAATAGGACAGAAAATTAGGTAGGCAGAGTAGACAAAACAGAATGCTGGGAGAAAAAAGCCGAGTCAGTCAGTGGCCATGATTCTCCCACCCGACACAGACGCAGGTTAAAATCTTTCCTGGTAAGCCACACCTCGTGGGGCTACACAGATTTTTAAAAATGGGTTAAAGCAAGATGTTAGAATTAGCCAATAAGACAGAAATCACTTGCTCTACCCTTCTTTAACTGCTCTGTTGTGTGAGTACTTAAGAATCCTGCAGAGAAGACCATGCATCAAGAAGTAAGGCTTTCCTGAGTTGCTGTCTGTCACCATGCTGCTGATGAAGTGGGGATGGGGACTGCCCCTGACTCAGTGCTTGGCCTACAGAGGGGGATTTCTAGCTGGGTAAAGAATGAATACATGAGTGAATGGTGACAGTAAAGCCATTGGAATAGAGACATCTGTCATCTTATCTTCGACCTAGCAACTGAAGACAGTTGTCACGAAATTTGAAAATCTGTTTGCAAACATGTTTGAATTGATTTTTATGGTCTTTTTATGAACTCAATAAAAATGGAAACAACACAGCAACTTTAATAAAAAAACAAGATGATGATGAAGAGAGAGTAGAAGGAAAAGAAGAAGAAGGAGGAGGAGGGAAGAGGAAGGAGGAGGAGGAGGAGGAGAAGAAGAAGAGGTTCCTGGCAAGATTAAACTAGAAACTGAAGCCCATGAGCTATTCTGAAAGTACCTCCTCTAGTTCATGTCTTGTTCTCAGATGACAGTAGCCATGCATGATCATTTGACTGCAACCTAATAAGAGATGCCAAGACAGAACTGATCACCTAAACTCTCCAAATTACTGGCATTCAGAATTGGTAAAATATTAAATGCTTGAATTTTAGATCTAGGAGATAATGTGTTGAGCAAGGGTATATTTTGTTTTGTGAGATAGTTTGTTACAGATCAATTGATAACCAATACAATGAGAAATCGGACCAAAGAATTCGTGCATGATAGTAAGTGTTTACTGCTTTAAACTATGAGATTCTGAGATAATTTGTTAAGCAGCAATAGATAATTTACGGAGAAATTTCATGAATTCTTCTATGACAACATTAAATTTGAGAGAGTTATTAGACACCCATGTTATATGACACTTAAATGACTTAGACATTCTTTACAATCAAGGATGGGATGAAGGTAAAGATGCGAATGTGAGAGCCATCAATGCGAACTTAGAATTAAAGCCAGGATGCTGAATTTCTAATAAAAGGCCCAAGGAATCCAATCTATACATCAAAAAGAGAAGAATGACTCTTTAAAAATGAAAAGAGAAGTAGTGGCCAGTGATGTAGGAAGGAAAAATGAAGGCATCACAGAAATCTGGAGTCAAGGCAGAAAAGTATTTCATGAAGGGATAAATGAAGGGTGCTAAACGTTTATTGAAAACAAAATGGATGGACCCTTCACCTATGAACCAGGCAAGATGGTGGAACCAGATAGGTGTCACAGCTTCCACCCACTGCATGTAAGGAATTTCATTCCATCATGAAAGGGAGCAAAGACTGCAGATAGTGCTGTCTTGAAAACCATTACCTTTGCACCATTCTTAGCTGTTCTGCACTGATGACAGTGACATCAGGAAACATGCAAAACTTAGCTGTCCTAACTTTAGGGATAACACACTACACTCAGATGGATCCACCACCCTGATGGACGAGGTATCCCCTAAGCAATGGTCTTGTCTCATATGCAGATGAATATAGTTAGTATATCCTGACTCTGATATCTTCAGTTAAAACACTCAGCATCTCTGAGCCTCAGTTTCCTCATTTGTAAAATGAAATAATGGTAAAAATATTAACATCTCATTCCTTAGATTGTAGGAAACTCCAGAAGATTGTGTAGATATAAAATGAATTGAATGGTGATGGGCTAATAAATTTTAATAATACTGTTAGAGTTCTATGAAGTACTTAGAATAACAATGGCAATTTAAAAGAAAATAAACAATAACCTCAAAAACAACAAAGCTAGCTAACATTTACAGAAGTTGTACAGCATACTAGTGTTACATATGTTCCTGTACATTAAGTTCTTAAAACAATAAGACAGCACTTTCAATTGTAATACATTGAATGATGTGTTATAGTTAACCTACTCTATTAGAAAATGGGCTGCTTTCTAAGGCCCTATGACTATACGTGTGTGTGTGTGTGTGTGTGTGTGTGTGTGTGTGTGTATGTGTGTGTGTGTGTGTGTGTGTGTGTGTGTGTGTGTGTGTGTAATGGGAGCAGGGTAGAGGAACATCACTGTAAAAACAATTAGAATCTTGCTTTACATTAAACTTCTATTCACCAAGGGCAGGCTTATCAACCAGACCATCAGGAAGAGCCAAGTAAGGTCTGAAACTTTTACTTTTGAAAGCAGATCTTAGAGCCCCAAATGTCATCACTACCTAGAGTCCTCATGAGAAGAATTTTTTTTCTCTCATACGTAAGACAAAGTTGCATTCACCTCCCATGAGTTTGTAGAACTGATCGCTAAAGGTTTATTACAAACAGCAAAACCATGGCCAGTAGGAATTGTAAACACACTTCACACTGCATTAGGGTCATTTTCTCCTTTATCATCTGACAGCAGCATTAATAGGATCTACTCTGTGCAAATAGCTTGTGGAATAAAAAAAGGAGACCCATGCCTGCATGAAGGGGACAATTTCCTCTTACAGACAAGACAGAATTGTTTTCTGAGAGCTAAATGTCTTTGAAATTAGGTGTTTTAGATAAGAATATGCAATTGTCTTTCATGGCTGTTGGAAAGAGGTGCAGACTCTTAAAAAAAGCTCGAGGAACAACCACAATGGCGAGGAACATTTTTAGAACCAAACTAAGTGATTCAGAAAAATTAACTGCCTGCTTCAGGCGAGTGAACATGTGGTCTCTCCTTGGGGCCTTTCTCCATTCAAGGGGATGAGAGCAGACAATCAGGCTCCCCAAAGGAGAAGTGCAGAAGTGAGCCCCCTTGGGACCATAGAATCACCAAACTGTAGCCTTCAATTTGATCTTAACCAACTACAATGATGGAGCAATGTTACTGGTTCATGTCTTTGGGAAAGACCTCATTTCCTTTAACTCGGTTTTGTTTTCAATAAAATTAAGGTGTGGGAAGATTAATTATGCCACAAGCCACTCAGGCCAATGATCCCACCCTCCCAAGAAGATCATAGGACCCACCACTTCTGCTGAGGTCTAGTCTGTATTCACAGAAGGAGGCTTCTGAGTGGCCCGAACACTTAGCACGTTGGTACCCAGATCTGATGTCTGGCCTGCCTTGATATAGCCAGCTTTGCTTGTCACTCACCTGATCTGTGCAATAATAGCTGCACAAGGTTCTTCTTGTGGCTAAAATGCTCTGACATTTCCCTGGGGACAAAGTCGGGCTTCCTTCTTATGAACTCCTTTATTAAGAATCTGTTTTTGCAGGAAAAATAACACTAATGACAGGATTTGCTGAGTGCTTCCCGGGTGTCAAGGACTATTCTAAGTACTCCAAGTACGTCATGGCATTTCAGCCTCACTTTAAAAAGTAAGACCCGCAATTGTTCTATTTTTATAAGAGGACTGGGGCATAGTATGTTTGACGTAAGACAAAGCCTTAAAGCTACCAAGACAGCAGAACGAGAGCGTCAGCCTGCCTTGAGTCATTTGTCACTCGGGTGCTAAGTCCACTGAGACAGGTTTCAGTGATGGCGGATGTGGAGCGGACAGAGAAGGACAGCTCTGACAATGACAGAGAAAAGGGATGGCATAGTGTTTATTTGGGACCCTATGTACCTGATTAGGCCCCAGAGAAAGATACGATTTGGATCAGAAAATAATAGATGATAAGGTCTATGGGAATGGAATGAAAGAAAAAAGAATAGGGTTGTATTTTCGCTCTTAACAGTCTTGACTTAGTTAAGCCTAACTATACAAAAATTGGTTGTCTCAGAAACGTGACTTGATCATTTATGTACACAACTCATTTCTTTCCAGTTTTGCTTTGGTCAAAATCATCTTTTTATCAGTGACACTGACGCTCCAGCTTCCACCTCTAAGCTGGTTGCTTTTCTGTGATGTGACCACCACCCCCTCTCACACGTCCCTGGCATCTGTACCCGTCCCTCTACCTTGTCTTTCTTATGGTGGTCTATAATAGGGAGTGGCGAAGCACAGATGAACCTGCCTGTGTATATGTTTGTATATGCATGCGCTCATGCAGAGGAGTCAAACAAGCCATGAAATCTTTTCTTCATGTATTTTACAGACATGTTCTAGAAGAAAATGGAACAGCCATGGCATGTCACACAAGCCTGTCTCTAGTAGTTGTGAAGGGACCTAAAGGCGAATCATTTTGAAAAACCATAGCGCAGTGGAGTTACAGCTTCAAAACAGATGGTAATTACTAGACGAATCAATGCGCCTAGAGAATCAGGGTCTAAGCCATTTCCAAAGGGATTGTGTATGCAGTTTGCCCCCAGAGACCTCAGTGTGAGGGTCCAAAAAGGAGCAGAGAGCTGTAACTAAAAGGGTAAACAATAGAGACACCGCAAAGATGTATTCGACCAGGGAAGCAGGCCTGTGCTTTGGGAAGAAGGAACTCTGTAGGAATGACTTCTCATCCACATGCTCTAAAGGGCATTCCCATATGACGCAATGGAAGAAGAGAAGACTAGGTCGATTGTTCTACAAATTATCACCCAGGGCTGCCAAACTGCTGAGCTGCACTGTGAGGAGACCACTCATGACAGCAGCCCATCGGCTATCTTTGGAGAGGAAATTC